CAAAAGGTATTGGTGCTACTACCATCAAACAACAATGTTTCTACTGATGTTAGTTATTTTTCTCAGTTTATTGTATTCTCTTAGTGTATATTTTTCTCTGTAAATGTATTCCACAGAAACAACACTCGGTAATATATCCTGCAATTAATATAAACAGAAAGAGTTCACTGGCTAAATGTTGCATATTATACTCATTTTCTGGCCCATGTAAGGTACATTAGAAGACTAAAGGCACTGTGGCCTCCAAGTCTTTTTATTCTTTCTGCAGCAATATTATTAACAATCTGAGGAAAGAGTATTCCACAGAGCATTTTTGAAAATTCAGTCATTAATAACATTGAAAGCATTTTTATTGCTGAAGCTTTTACTGAATGCTTCTGAGTAGACATAGTGATGAAAACTTGGACCAGAGTCCTCTGTTCCCCAGTCCTGGTGGCTGTGGTCCAACTGCAGGCAGAGGATGGAAGAGAATCTCAGCAGCACAGCAGTGTAGTGGAGCCTGGGTGATCTCCAGGTTCGGCAATTGTCCGTGACTTCCTCTACACCCTTTCCCTAGACAGTTTTATTCTTTCTCATAGTTTTTGCCTCAGTTCTATTCAACAGTTCCAGCTGAGATTTCTTAGATCATGCTTGAATATACAGTTGGCTATGTGTCATCACCATTTGGATATTCTAGAAGAACTTCTATATCTCCATATCTCAGGTTGTGTATCCTGCACCTCCCCTACTCCTTTTCCTCCCACGAAATCACACTCTTTATTCTTACCTTCACTAGCATTGCCTTTCAACCATCACTGACACCAGAAATTTGGGATGTCCTTTACTCCTGTCTCTCTTCCATCCTGTGGTGTTTTTTTTTTAAATTTTTTTCTTTTGTAATTGTGAAAATACCATATAGGGGGGTTACAATTACATGGGCAAGGTAATGAGTACATTTCTTATCAAGCATTGTTGCCTCCACCTGTATTTCCCCTTCCCAAACCTCCCCCCCTTCGACCCCCACCCCCGCCAAAGTTGTAAAGTTCATTTTTCGACATAACATCTTGTACATCTCATTGTTTCAATAGATCCACCTGTATCCCTATTTAAACAACTTGTTATTTCCCTTCCCCTCCACAAATTATAACAACATCAAATACAGTGAAAACAGGGGTTATACCGTGGGGGAGGGACATACAAAACAACAAAGAAATCATCTTATAAATATGTTAGAAACAATTGGAAGAAAGAAAAAAAACATTTGAATCCTTATCTTGGGGTTTATTTCACCTAACATCAACTTATCTGACCTTTTCTACTTGTCTCAGACATATACTAGTTATTGCAAATAAGGGAAACCATGGGACCTATGTTTCTTTGGGCCTGGATTACTTCACTTAATGTAATTTTTTCTAAGTCTTTCCATTTCCTAACAAATGGGGCAGTGTCATTCTTTCTGATGGAGGCATAAAATTCCATTGTGTATATATATCACATTTTCTTGATCCATTCATCTACTGAAGGGTATTTGGGTTGGTTCCATATCTTAGCTATGGTAAATGATGCTACAATAAACATAGTCATGCTGGTAGCTTTAGTGTGGTCTTGTTTGTGAACATTTGGTTAAATGCCCAAAAGTGGGATTGCTGGGTCATAGGGGAGCTCTATGTGGAGTCTTTTGAGGAACCTTCATACTACTTATCTTTACAAGGGAGATTTAATTAAATGCACCACCAATTAATAAATATAATACATCTTGATCAATGTCACCTATTTTTCTCTTTCTTCCTGATCTTTCCCATCCCCATCCATACTATCAAGTTATGTAGTTCCATTTTCAAATATATACATTGCATATAACAGCTATATTCACTCACACTTCCTCTCTGTCCCTTCCATTGCTTGGGAACAGGTTTTGCTTTTATGACTTATAAATATCTAGACATTTTTCTGTTTTCATTTTGGTTTAGATTTACAAATTCATATATTTCTTGCTTGAAGGATGCAAAACCATCCTACTTAATCCCCTTGTAACGTAGCCTACCAGGAGAGAGCTCCTTAAAATTAAAGTTGTTCATATCCATCCCTGACTCAATTATTTTTTAAATTTTTTTTTATTGTAAAGATACTATACAGAGGGGTTACAATTACATGAGTAAGGTAATAAGTACATTTGGCTCAATTATTTTAAAAATGATTTCCTGTTGCCTTCAGCTTAGCTGCAGAACTCCAGCTTCACGTACAAAGCACACCACATCATTTCTTTCAGCTATTATTTCAGGTTCATGATTCCTAATCTCTGACATGCTTGTCACACACAGGCCATACTAGCTTCCTTTCAGATCCTAAGTGGACCATACATTCTTGCAGCTGTGCGTCTGGGTGAAATCATCCCCTTCATTTTCTTTATGACTGCTTCAAGATTCACCTCAAGTTCCCTGGCTCCAAATTTTCCTCTAACTTGCTGAGTTTGTCTTAAATGCCCTTTCTTTGTGTTCTCCTAGCAACAGTGGCCGCCTCATTTCCCATCTCAAATGAACTTTCAGATCTTAAAATAATATGTGCCTTAATAAAACATACACGTTTACATCCATATGTATGTAATGTAAAAGCCAACTTCAGTTTCTTTGTGTGGTCAGCATAGCTTTTGTGAGGGATTACGAACTTCTCCCTTTTCCCTTTTACTTGCTGGTTTATTTCTTCCTCCTCCTCTTTTAGAAGTCTGGTAGACAGCATACTGCACTAAACTAAAGCTATTTCTCAATATTTATTTTAAAACTATTAGTGTTTATAGATAACTGTTTCTTTGTAGTTATGAGCAAATAACAGGTCTTTTCACTTAATCAATTTAGAAAAATTGATTAAACTAGCTAAGAATTAAATAGATATCTGTGAGTCGTATGCAGGATGTATAATATATTAAGTTTCAATAGCATGCTCAGTGGTTGCAATCTTAAAAGATAAAATCTTATAGTCTTTCTAGAATTGCATAATTCTTAAGCTCATTCTGCTCACTGGGATTGTTTTTGTTAGCATTCCATTTTTTTTCATTTAGTACACATATTTTTACTAAGAACCATAGTGTACTCAGTATTCTATTAAGCAATAGGAGAGCAACAATGAGCTAAATCATAGTAACAGATCTTATAGACTACTGGGAAGGGAGAATCTTTAAAAAATTCAAACCAATAGGTTTCAGTTATAATACTGATCATTTTTTTATTATCAAGGCTGGGAATATGGTGATATGGGTTTAACTCTTTAATTTTCTTGTTTTAAATGTATTCCTTTCCTTTACTATTAAAACAATTTCAATTGGTTTATTTTTTATTTGCATACATGCAGAAACACTACTTAAATCATGTTCATTCTTAATTCACTGACCTCATTTGCCCAACCCCCTTCTGCTGGTATGACGTATAGAGGCTGTTTCATTTTCCTATCATTCACTTTTGTAGTGTGCATTAATTGTAACAAGGGGTTTCACCATGCTCTCTCACATGTACATTTATTATATTGTGGTCAGGATAACCCTCTTGACTGCCTCCGCTTTTTTTCTACCCTCAGTGCCTTATTGACCTACAATTTTTTTCATTGAGATTCTTTATTCTATCTCTATATATGGTTACAGTGCATTCCAAAATTATTCCCTCTTCATCTTTCTTATATTCTCTCCTCATCTCCTAAAGCATCTCATAATTAAAATCATGTTTTATGTGTTTATGTATGTATAACATGTATATATGTATATGTATATAAGTTATATATCTACATATACATGTATTTAGGTATATAGTATGACTATTAGTATATTATATATATACACATATGCATATCTGTAGATATATGTTTTTTAGGTTTAACCTCCATGTATGAACAACAGCTCACAACATTTGAATTTTTGAACTTGGCTTATCTCCCCAGTGTTATAAGCTTATAAAAGCCAAATCTATTTTTATGGGAAAGGTCTAGGAGAGCAGGGATTTGAAAGAACATTGTAAAGGAGGAAAGTTTATTTGGAGTTCAGGTGCTGTTGTAGGTATGGGCTAAAGGCCCTGTGGAAGCTCAGTTTGTTATGGAACTAAAAATGAGCCTAGGAGTCTGAAGAGCTCAATGAAGGAATGAATGGGCTGGCTCTTCTCAAGGATTTAGGAGCAAAGAGTGAATTCTAAGGACCTTTGAAGTACTGAAGGACCCAGGATATATTTTCATTTCAAAACCTTAAGCTGACTATTTAGTGGATTATTTATTTTGGATGGTAGCTGGTTATTGAGGACCAGAAGAGAGGTTCTAAGGAATGTGCATTATGACTTTGCTTTCTTTATTAGGATCAGAATACTAGATGAGAGCCAGATATGGGACTACATTTGTGAGATTTACACATTTACTCTGTACATAGCAGAAAGAAGATTAGAATGCTTAAAATTTTGAAGCATTCTGATTTTATAATTTAATTGTAAAAAAAAGTAGAGTCGCAGGATATACTTACGTGGCATAGACAATGAAAACTACATTTATGAAGTGAACTGTAAGGTCCAGGATGTGTCATTAGTATCCTTTTCCATTCAGTATGTGCATTGTTCAAATTTAGTTATTTAGTGTTTCATCTTTGAAGCCTGTTCAAATATGTACATGCTAATCATAAAGCCAATTATTAAAACTGTGGAAAGTGTGTATGTATATTATTATTTACAAAGAGTTGAGCATATGAGAAATGTTCCCTTATATTAGAATGTAATAGTGTGTTTGTCTATAGCAGATGAGTTAGTGGATGCTATTTATCAGGTCTCTAACACCTCTCAGGAAAAACAAGCAGTATTCATGGTATAAGCACACTTGAGTTATAGAGTCTGGAAGGGTTTAAAGACAATGGGTTTCTGCTGCAGAGAACTGGCAAAGTATAAACAAGAAAACGTTCTGAGCAGAGGGTCAATATTTAACTTGGAGTGTTGAAGCTTATTATTTTTAATGAATTTTCAAGTGATAGATGAAATATTCATATTTTACCAATTCTTCTGCAGGCTCCCGCCTTCGACAAGAAGATTTTCCACCTCGAATTGTTGAGCACCCTTCTGACCTCATCGTCTCAAAAGGAGAACCTGCAACCTTGAACTGTAAAGCCGAAGGCCGCCCAACACCTACGATTGAGTGGTACAAAGGGGGTGAGAGAGTGGAGACTGACAAAGATGACCCTCGCTCACACCGCATGCTGCTGCCAAGTGGATCTTTATTTTTCTTAAGAATAGTACATGGACGGAAAAGTAGGCCTGACGAAGGGGTCTATGTCTGCGTTGCAAGGAATTACCTTGGAGAGGCTGTGAGTCACAACGCATCGCTGGAGGTAGCTAGTAAGTAAAAGGGGCATTGTGGGCTTACTGGAGAAAGTGGCCTGATGGTGTGATTTGTTTTGATTAAAATATTTGCACATGTATCCCAGGTGTTAACTGAGATAATCTAGTTTTATATATAAGCAGAAAGTAGTACTTATGTGTGTTTGTGCGCACGCACGCACACTGGTACTGGGTCTTGAATTCAGGGCTTTCACACATTTTTTAAAGCTTTTTTCATTCAAGGCTAGTGCTCTACCATTTGAGTTAAAAGTTAACTTTTGTAAGCCAGGCACTGGTGGCTCACGCCCATAATCCTAGCTACTCAGGAGGATCGCGATCTGAGGATCGGGGACAGGAAAGTTCATGAGACTTTTATGTCCAATAAACCACTAGAAAACAGGAAGTGGTGCTGTGGCTCTAGTGGTAGAACTAGCCCAGAGTTCAAACCCCAAGACCGACCAAAAGAAAAGTTACCTTTTTAAACTGTATTAATACAAGGCTTTCACATTTTAAAAATATTTAAGCTTAAATATTTTTAAGCTTAAATTTGTGTTTCTCAATTCCCAGTTAATTGATAATGTATTTACTTGTCTTTTTTTTTCTTTTTCTTTGACCACCAGTGTATGCCTTAGAACCAAATCTGCAAAGTGTACGAAAGCTGTAATTAGAATAGGTTATTTTGATGTAGCTTTGGGATTTTCAAAGCTCAAAGTGAAATCTAAGGAAAAATAGTTTAAATTGATGTTCAGTCCAGGTATAAAAGAACGTGTATGTATTGATAATACCATCTTTCAAAGTAAGGGTATTACTTCCTTTATAACTTTTGATATTTTTTATTTGAGTGTAATTATTCTTTGTGGAGGTAAAATCAAAGAAGTACTTGAGAACAAACTCAGAGAATCATGAATGTTGATATACAAAGCTTAAGCCTATTTTTACCGGTACAAAACTGAACAACAGAGAACAAACCAATGTGGTTATTTTGTGGAATTATAGTCTTATAAAGGTATTGTATAACAACAAAATATTAAGGATTGTCTCTTGTTCCTATGCTATTTCCTATTCTACTTGGATTCTTACCATTGTTAGAATATACAAAGGAAGTTATGGACTTCAATAAGTCCAAATGCTTACCTTCTAGAGCTTTCTTTTCAAAACACCTATGGTTTCACCACCAATGATTAAGATACCCTTTTAATCACTGGGATTTAGACAGCTGTGTTTTCTGATCTGGCCTTTGTGTTGATATTTTACTATTAGTTTCCAGCTAAATTCTCTTTCTAAGCTAGGCATTCCATTACCTTGAGAAGCCATTATGGGAAAAGCTTTTCAGTCAGTCAACAAAGATATGATCATGAAATTGAAACCAGACATAAGATCATTGTATTGCATTTACAGCAAAATATTTAAATTCACAGCTTCTTAATGTATAATTCACAAATTTTAGCCTGATATTCATCACTCTGTTTTTAAACGTTTTTCAGTTCAAAAGGGGAAAAAAAAGATTAGAAACATGTCTTTATTTGGATTTAGTATTTTATTTAGACACACAAGTTTATGGGAATAAAAATAAAAATAAGCACTCTGGCCTTAGGAAATTTTTTTCCTTTTGGTAAAAAGGTTTAGGAACTATTACTTAGTAAATTCTTGCTTCATGTTACCTTTATTCTTTGCTTTACTATAGATGTTATATTTCAGTTATATATTCTAGACAATGAACACTACTCTTTGACCATCTGAAAGGATGTTTCTATACTAAAATCAAAAGTAGTATTTTGTGTACTTCATTAATATCAAGGTTTAGAGGAGAGAGCTTTTATTTACTATAAGTTAGACTTGTACTTTTAACATTTGAATTTATTTTTCTGGAGGTTATTGTGATTTTTTTAAGGCTTAGTTTGGGTTCTGGAAGTTCACTAAGACCTATTCTTACTGTCCTCAAGGTTCAGACACAGGAAGACAAAGATTGCAACTAATGCCATAGTGATACTCTAGCCCCACGTAATAGCATTAACAAAAGTGTCTCGAGGCAACACAAGTTTCACAGCACAGTTGTTGGGAATGCTTTTGAAAACAGTTATCTGTGTGTGTGTGTGTGTGTGTGTGTGTGTGTGAGTTTAAACCAAGTGTACAGCTGTAACAACAACTGGATTTCTTGGTTTTTAGTAATTTTCTGTCTCTCAAACTTTGAAAAAAATGGCACAGAATACCATTTAAATTTAATTTCCATGTAGTAATAATAACAATTTCGTCTATTGTACTTTAATGTTTACCTAAACTGGAAATAATGAACCTAAAGGATTGTATTTCTTGGTTATTTTTAGAACTTATTTTTATTTATATCACATTTATAACCAGGTAGACCACAGGATAGTCTTGACCAACTCTTTATCATAGCCATGCTGGTAAACTATATTCCTTTTCTGGAAAACTTAGTTTTGGTGATGTTTCACTTATTTCATAGAATTATAAATCTAAAGACTATCATGTTAAGTATTTAATAATCTTTATTTTTAATATTTATACCAGGATTATTTTACTTTGTTTTATGAAGGAAATACTATTTAATCACTGATTAAATATTAAAAGACAAAAACAAAACTTATAATTACTATTTCCATTGACAAACCAAAAATGATATATCCTGATAATATCTAAATTAGACTATGAGATTTAGAACTTGCTGTTTCTTAAAACTTATGTAAACTATGCATCTAATTCATGTTCAAAGCTAGATTTCTAAGAAATCTTTTAAGTATTATTTTCATACTTATTTTTGGTTCTTTCTATTTGAGAGTCTATGAAATGTTTGGGATGTATTCTACTGCTCTTAATACGATGCATGCACAAATTGATAGCATGGTTCTTTGATACAATTTATATCTATAGAATAATTGGTTAATTACATTGAGTTTTGAGGAAAGTACATTTGAACCTTGATCTTTTTACTTATCATTTTGAATGTGGCTCTCTATGTCATCTACTGAAAACATACAGTTTGCATATGATTATTTCTTCCTTATGTGGCTTCCTCCCAAAGAAAGTCCCTCAATTGAGGCAGACATTTACTGGCTCTATAACAAGCAAAGAGAACAATCTTTTCTTTAAAAAGAATCAGTTTGTTTGTTAGTAAAACATTATCTTTCTATATTTTATTAATTAAGGTACTTACTTCCCTAATCCAGTGTTTTATGCATGCAGTCAAACATTCTACCACTGAGAACTTTTCCTAGCACTTTGAATTTTGGAGATAGAATTGCCTGCCTGCCTGGCCTCCCTCCCTCCCTCCCTCCCTCCCTCCGTTCTTTCCTTCCTTCCTGCCTTCCTTCCTTCCTTCCCTCTCTCCTTTCTCTTTTCTTTCCTTATTCCTTTCCCATTTCTTCCTTTTCCTCCTTTCTCTCCTTCTCTTTCGTGCCTTCTCTCTCTCTTATTTGCTCTTTCCCTTTCTTCTTTTCCTTTCCTAAACCTGTCCTAGGTTTAAGGGAACTCAAACTCTTCAAACTCAGGAGCTTCTAAATGCTAACAGATACTCTATCTCTGAGCTATAACCATAGCTGTCAATATTTTCCTGGATAACTATAAGACTTAATGTGATAGAACTTATATGACATGGCTCATAGATATAATGGAAAAGTTTAACTCTCTAGAAAGAATGTTACAAAACAGCTGCCACCTAGGTATTAGTAGACCCACTGTCTTGGAATAGATTCAGTCTAGTAATCTAGGTGTTCTAGGTGACACAGTCCATGTGAGTCTCATGAGCCACATTTTTTTCTCTAAAAGTAAGTGATATTCATACATGCTGAAAAGTACTGAGATGATTATTTCAACACTAGCTGATACTTAGATACAATGTCCCTTGTGGTTTCCAGAAAATCAATTCAATATTTGGTTATTTATGAGAGAATCTTGGCAATGTCTCCTTGTATCAACAGTACTGTCTTTATAAACTAATAAAACAAAAAGTACATCTGGTTATCTTTCAAATCTGATTGGATCATTCTTTTAATCCTCATAATTTACTTCTGATGTAAATCTGGGAGTCATTCTCACAAGCATAAAATAACTTGTGAATTACTTTTATTTATTTTAAACTCTGTATTCAATGACAAGTTTGTTTACCATGAGCATATTTAAATGTTCATTTTTATTTAATACTATATATATTATCCTAAGACATTATTATTTATAAGTTAAATGTATATTTATAATGTTGAATTTAAAAAATAAGAAATTCAATACATAGAGATAATACTAAAATACACCTTGGGTTAAAAGAGTGATTTTTTGTGTGTGCTTTTTTTTGGTCCTAAATCCTAACAAGAATTTTGTTGAGTTGTAGTGACTCCTTTCTTCATGAGGACTACAGGATAGCTGGAGGAAGAATAGTCCAGTTGAAAATAAGCAACTCACCATGCAATTAATTAGTTGTGAAATAAATAGGTATTGTAGAAAGGGATAAGATAAGAACTGAGTAGTAATTATTTTGGGGTGTTACCAGAATTAAGAGTAATAGTAAAAACAGACTAAATAAATAGTACATCTTAAAGTCCATGAGAAGTTTGAAGATTTGGACATATTTGAGAAATTGGCAAATGATAACTATAGCAATATTGTACAAATTAGCTAAATGTCTAGAGATATTAAAGGCTAGATTGTATAGTCCCTATGACCATATTAAAAATAGCTCTTTGTTCAAAGCAATGACGTGACTGGATGAGATATAGTTTAAAATGAAACCAATGTAGTTGTTCAGTATCAGATGTATAGAGAATGCATTGTAGAATATATGATGATCAAATAGGAAGCCATTACAATATTTCAGATAAAAGTGCTCACTCTTTGAAGCTGCTAGTGGTATTATAGAGGGAGAAATAGGAAGGATTAGATTTTGACATTGATAGTTTGATAGTTTGAATTTTGGGGACTGGGATAGACATTGAAATTTTGCAAGAGATGTAATTATTATTGGTGACAAGGTTATGGTCATGGCCAGCTCTATGATTATTTAAGCAGCT